AACTCAATTACCACTAAAATATATTTACAAAAATAACTAATACGGTAAAGAAAATTTCTCACCATAATTTTGTATAGATTTGCTCATATATTCTGCTAATAGTTCATGTTACAAAATTTTATTTTATTTTTAGCCGCCATCATAAATTAATTACTACTAGATCTTTTAAAGAATATTTTAGCAACGTGGTCAATGAATTTATTAGGTTAATGACGTATATGTTGAAAGACCAAATCAAAAATGTTAAATCTAATTATATAGTTTAATTTATATCTGCTTATACGAAATTTCCTCTTACCATTAACAATTAATTTTTCTTGTTAAGGGTAATCACTTAAAAGTAAAATTTTAAGTAGATAAATTAATGTGATGAGTCGTTAAACTATATTAATTATAAAATTTTAAGGAATTGTTCGATATATATGATAAGATGGACTAATTTATAAGTAAAATTAGAGATAAAATTTAATGAATATTTGATGGACAAAATATAAATTTTATCTGAAATTTAATTTTGAAATATTTCAGTTTTTATCTTATTTAACTTAGAGATTATTGTATCTAACTAAATAGATCAGTCCAAATTAAATTTCAAACTCAATAATTTAGTTTGTTTATCAAACAATCTTTAAAATATTTTTAATCATTGACTTTGAAATCCCCACCTAATTCCTCTTTTATTGGACATGTTACAAAAGTCTTTTTCTTTGTTAGGTTCCCATTTTTTTTACACTTCAATGACTAGGTCATCTAATTTATTCTAGAAATATGGAAACACTATCACATAACACCTAGACTAGATCTTTATTTTTATTTTTTGTAAGAAATTTTTTAAATTTATAATAAGAAGTAATCAAAACAAAATGGTCCAAACATTAGAAAATTGTTTTGACTACCTAGTAGTCAACTCTCTTATCTTTGATTTGGAATATACTTGGGGTTGGAATCATGAAATTAGAATTAGATTTGTGAAAATTTTGATTTTATTAATTTGAAATAGTATCATCCAAATTTAAATCAAAATATTATATTATAGTAAATAGTAATTAAGTTTCTTGTAATACTTTTGAGTTTAACTTTTATTCATTAAAGATATTATCCGAAATAGCAGGTATTTTAAAAAGTTATGATATATAATAAAAATTTAAATTTTATCTGTTTTTCACTTTGTATTTTTTTGTATTTATTCGCTTTGTATCAATGTATTTATTTACTCCCACTATCGAATCAATATATAGAACAAATTGATACAATGAATTATCTTTTACTTCTATAATTAATAAAATTTCATTTATGATTACATAATTAAAATTCAAAGCTAAGTATGGATGTTTTTGAAATTTCCTCCGATACAAAAGGATGTTCGTAAATCATACATTAGTCAAAATAACGAGTGGGTATCTTCGTACACTTTCAAGTTATATACTAAATCGTAATATTATAAAAAAATAATTAAAAATATTTTATTTGTCACTATTTAGTTGACACACTCATTAAGAAAATAAATATCGATACAAGTATTTTGCCAAACTAGCGCTATTAAATGATGTTTAGTATTTAGGTATTGGAAAATGATTCGAAAAAATAAGTATTTAATGTTGCGGGTAAAACATGAAGAAATATAATTAAATTTTGATATGTCAAAAATAATAAATAATAAATAAAAATTTATTTTAAAAATAAGTGACAAGTAAAAGTGAATAAAAAACTGGCCTAATATATAACAAACACTTTGGGACCAAATTTCAAGATATATTAGTTTAATTTATGAAGGAATATTAAAGAGAAAATTAATTACATTACATCAAACAAGTTTAATTTCAAATTAGCACTACAAGGAAAAGAAATATACAAAGAGTTAGAAATGTAGACCAATTGTTTACGTAACATTTAACTCATTATAGAGAAAGATAGTATATGACTGATATCCTGGTAAAAGTGGAGGCTTATATCACCAATGTGTCGATATCGGGTTCATCTAAATTTAGTGTTTTTAACGTGAAACATAAAATTTATTAAAATTATAATAAATAATATATGTGAGCTCATAATTTTAAAAATATCATGAGTTTGATACTAAAAATCTTAAAGATTGAACGCATTAAATTTAAATCTTGAATTCGTCTCTGTCATCAATGAATATAAGACATTTGTATTTTATAGCCACACACTATATGTAGTAAAAAGGAAGGACTCTCTAAGATATATGAGTTTAGCATTTGTTTCAAAGTGAGAGATGTGTATCTTGAATGGAATTGTTACTTCCCAAAAACTTTACTTAAAGAAAGGTCTATTTTCTCACATAATTTGTTGATCAAATTAACAATTCTATCATGGAGTAACATTACTTTATAAATAAAGTTGGTAAAACATGCAACTTTCACCACATTGGAATTGACAGTATCAAAAAGTTCATGTCTACATTAAAACATGAGAATTATAAGCTAATTGAAGAAGTCCAAAAAAAAAGAAACATAAACTAAACTACTAACAACTCACAGGGGCGGCGTTAGCGCGTAGGAAGGAAATTCGACAGAATTAAATAGAGGAAAGGATCAAAATAGTTCCTCTTTTTTGGGTTAAGATTCAAAGTGATCCTTGAGTTTTCACATGGAACACTAATTGTCACTCATGTTTGCAATATTGGTGCACTTTTGGTCCTCCTTTAAAATTTTACCTATTTTTTGCATTGATTTATCCATAACCTATGTATGGGATGTTCAATCGTAATTTTACATATTTAGTAGAAATAAAAACTCCATATTAAAGAATGTGAGAAGAAAAACACTTTGTTTTGTTTAGTAAAAATCATATTACAGGTAAAGTCGAGAGGTTCAACACGATAATTTCACGCGCAATGATATAATTTTTCCTTTTCCTGCAAAGTCATTATGTTAAGATGTTTTTAGTTTAGCTGCAGTAATATTTCTAGTGAACAGAACAAGGTATTTTTCTTATCACCTTCTCTCATATATAATTATTATTTTTATTAAATATATAAAAAAGACGATTGGACATTTCTTATATGAAATTTTGGACAAAACTAATGTTAAAAAATAGGCAAAATTTAAGAATAGGACCAAAAGTGCACCAATATTGCACACATGAGGAACTATTAGTGCTTCATGTAAAAACTCAAAGATCACTTTGAGCATTAACCTACGGATGAGAGATTATTTTGAGCCTTATATGGAATTAAATACTTACTTTTATTTGGTTAATATCATCAGATTGAACATGTACATATAATTACTAAAAAGCTAAAACTTTAAATTCATAAACTTTAAATCATAACTTAACAAACTCAGTGCTTTATTCCTTACATATTCATTAGAGTTGAATGTTCCAATTAGCTCAACTACGTCCACTTTATGGCCATAGCCTTTTCTCACAACTCTTCATAAATTGCATATTGTTAGAAGAAAGATTTCAATGATTGACGAATAGGGAAACAGATGAAAGAAACAACATAAATTTCCAATGAAAAATATAATATAAGATTAGAATAAAACATAATTCAAGAAATTGACATAATGCTATCAAAATAGTTTTATATATGAATAATATATTTATTATGCACTTTAATATATTTATTTGTATTGTGTCAATTTCTTATCAGACAAGCATAATACATTTTTAAAACACTTACATAATAGATTTATAATTTTATATTGCATGCGTAATTCACTTTTAATACATGATAGATTCAGCATAGTACTTTATATATTGCTATAAATGATAATAAATAAAAATATCGCTAAAATAATTAATTATTTATTAAAAATACTCATCCAAATAATATTTTCATACTTACTAGCTCCATTTCAAAATAATTGAATTGCTGAGACACTTTTAATATTTCAAATTAACTTAATTGTTCAATCTTCACGACTACTTAAAATATTCTTTTATTTTTATCCCTTATTTGAACTTTTTATGTGATGAGTTCAAAAAACTTTAATTGCTTTTAAGTATTTCTATGTTATGAGTTCAAGACATTTTTTTTAATTATTTAGTATTGAAATTGATTATTATGATTAATGTTTAATTATTCTAAAGATCAATTTGACAATAATTAATAAGGGTAAAAATGAAAAGTAATGTCTGATTTATTAGCAAACAAAATAAACGTACTATGCTCTATAGATATAGTTTTGATAAATGTGTTTCATAAGTTTGCTATGGAAGCCCTGATTTGAATAATTCACGAATTAAGTCGTATATTTTTTTCGTATCAATTTGTATATACGAATAAAAAAGTTTATATAATTAAATTTGTTGGCAGATCAAACAATGAAAATGTATTATGTTTGTTAAATCGTTTATACGCTTAGGTGTAATGATATAAATTGATTAGTTTTGTATCGATTCATTTATTCGTATATGAAACATTTTAGTTTTTTCTAGATTTGTATACGTATACATTACATGTTCATTTGTATCTTTGAAAAATAATTTTAATATTTGCGAGAATTTGTATATGTTTTTGTTCTTTGTGTTTTACTTTTTATCATGAACAATTGGATGATTCGTAAATGGAACACTTTAGTTTTTTCTAGATTTATTATATATTCATTTATATCTCGAAAACTTACGTTTATATATTTACAATAAATTTGTACTTGTATGTTCTTTGTTTTCTCCGTGGCTCCTAGATGGCAAGATCGACAAAACAATGAAATACAAAATAATCTGAAAAGTAGCTATGACATTTAATTTGATTTAAATGTTTGTTATTCCGTACAATTTTCCTTTTCGAAAAAGGATATGAAACATTACAACAAAATCAATTATTTTAAAACTAGAGAAAAATACATCTTTTATTAAATAAGAAACGAAGACACAAAATATTTTGAGTACTTTAATAGCCTTATAAACCCGTTATAGGCCCCTTATTGTGGAGTGAACATAAAAAAACATAATTTTTTTGATAAAAAGCAAACATATGCTCTGTATTTTATTCGAAATTATTAACTAAAGCTTTATAAAAATAAAAAAAATTATAATCCATTTGCAAAATCAACACTTCCAAAAGACTTGAGATTATCACCAGACTGAGCATGAGCTGCTAAAATGTTACCAGCAACAACAGCACCATTTTGCCAAACTTGATTAAAACTAGTCCTTCCAGCAGGAAGTTGTAAAGTCGCAAAAATAATGAACTCATTGTTGGAATATTCAGCTTCAATTCTCGGAACATTGAAACTCAAAGCTCCCTCTGTTAACAGAGTAGCATAACTAGAAACAGGGGAAGTGTAAGCATGAATTTCTCCACTGGAATCTCTATATGCAACTAAACATTGTGTACCAACCATCATTTTTCCATCGATATTTAAACCCCAAGCTACCCAATCTGAATCTGTTACACCCCCATGTCTGTATGCAATATCAACTGTATGGTTCTTTGGATAGTAAGTCCAGTGAAGAACAGAGTTTAGTACAGGTAGAGGCATGCAAGTTGCGAAAATCTGGTTATTGCTGAATGAAAATGATGAGCAATCGAGATTCTGAAGCATAAGTTGTGTAAAACAAGATTGATGTGAATAGCAAAGTTGTTAAAAGTTTATCCATTTTTTGTGCTCTGTTTTTTGGGTTTTTTTTTGTTCAGAGAAAAAACTCAAATTCAAGAATTGTTTTTCTTCTTTTTGAGATTTGGGATGATTGAATCAAGAAAATTGAACTGTTTGTTGTAAATTTGGTGTGAAGTGGATTAGATTATATAGATTTTTGAAAGAGAAAGGGGGAGGGAAATTGATGGCAAAAACGATGGAGTTAATTGACCGCTTCCTTTACGTGTTTCTCTTCGCATATAGCGAGTGGAAATACGATGATAAAGTATTATTTCATCCTTAATTAAAGAGTTTGAATTTGAGCATGATTATCGAGAGTTGTCGAGAATATAACTTTTTCTGTCTAGAATTATTTGTTATGGTTTTTATTTAACTTAGTTAAACTATAAAAAATTTTGACTGACATTTTAATATGTATTTTTTAATCATATTAATATGTAAAAATTTATAATTTATAATATTTTTCATTTAATTTTAGAATATCTAATTTTTTTGTTTAAAATATTGAATTAATGTGATGTAATTTATCTTAAAAAAATAGTCAAATTGACTTTCGATAAGCGCAACATGATAAACAATTCCGGACGGAGGGAGTATTAACTAATAAAAGATATTTTACTCTTTTTAATAGCTTAAATTTTTAGACGAGATGATAATATATTTTAATTTTATACTTGAGTGATATTCAGATCTAATCTCACCGACACTTGAATTAAAAAAAGAATTTTTAAAATGCTTGACTTATAAAAAAGAATTTTGAGTTTTGAGAATGACATCGTCATGCTCAAGAAACATTTTTATAATTATAATCATGTGATATAAGGATACATCTTGAATTTAAGTCCTTAGGAAGAAATTGTGTTACTTAGAAAGGATTTTATCATTCATATTAAATTTTTTGACATGAATCTTTATTTAATCAGACCGTAATAAAAATATAAAAATTAAATAGAAATAAAAAATTATCTTTACTATGTTAACCCAAAGAAGAGTTTTAATGGAAGTAACTAGGAAGGTGTTTGATTTTTATTTTTTAAAGATCAGTATTTGTTTTGGTTTATTTTATTAAATTTAGAGCTTGAATACTTTTCTATAAAATGACTAGAATTTACTAATTTAAAATATCGTTATTAATGGACATTATTTGTATACTCTGGGCATGAATTAATTCTCACACATGCATTGCATGTGATTCTATGATAAATAATGTAAATATTTTTAAATTTAAAAGAATTTGAATAAAATTGTTACTTCCAAGAATCTGCTTTAAATTAAAAAATATATCTATTTTCTCATCTGATTAATTGATCAAATCAACAATTTTCTCCTGAAGTATTATTATTTTATAATAAATAAATATATGGTAAAACCTGCAATTTTCACCTCATTGGAAGTGATAGTATCAAAAAACCATGTCTAAGCTGAACATTTCCCATATTAAACACATGAAAATTATTAGCTATTTGAAGAGGCCCTAAGAATAAACATGAACTGAACTGAGGTTAGGGAGCACGAAGCGATTTCGATAGAATTTAGTAGTTTTGATTCATACACGGTATTTGTTTTTGTGAAACATATTGAATAGGTATGAATTCTTAATTCAGTAACTTAAAAGAACTAAAATACTGAACCTATTAACTTTATTTTTGTCGCAGGGGCGGTTCTACTGCTTTGCAGAAAAAGTAATTGCCTTAGGCCTCGAAATTTGAGGGGCCTCACTTTAAAAAAAAAATACGCTATACATATCTTTTTTTGTTGAGTATTATTTGTAGAAAATATTTTTTTTTTACAAAAGAGCAAAGAAGTAATAGAAGTTTGACAAATTATGAAAACTATGTCTCAAGAAAGATTAAATAATTGACTATAATAAACTTCATAAAAAATATATATTCAAATTTTAAAGTCTCCTTTTGAATTTGACTTTAGACGACCGATTTATTAGAGCCACCCCTACTTTTTGGCTCTGTCTCTAGCAAACACAGTTCTTAAGCATATATATCCAAGTGCTTGAGCTAATTTCATAAATAAACTACACCTAATTTTGACCTTATGTATCCTGAGATACATGCATCTCGACATGCACCAAAATCTAGTAAGATTCATAATATTGCAAGCTAGAATGTATCTATGTAATTAACTCCTAAACTGAAGAATTTTCATAATTTTCTGATGATTATCACTGCATAATTCAAAATTAAACTATGGGCCAGCATTACTTTCCTATGTGGCCCAAAGTGATATGGACTTCTATGCGACCCATTATCATCATATGATCACTTCATGAACAAATACCCGAATTTGGGCCCATTTTTAAGTTGTAGTCCGAGTTAAAATTTTGAACAGACTATGTAATGTTAATTTATGATACTCCATAATTATATTTATAGTTATACTTTTAAATAATTATAAAATACAGTTATTTTTATATTTTTTTAGCAGAATACATATATCTAAAAATTGTTGGCATAATTCTTGTATCATATGTATGCTATCAATTGTATACATGTATCGATGTATAAACATGTATATACATTGATACTCTATGTATGCTCATACAATGTATATGCTACATTTTGAAAGAGTGTCGATATAGTTATATGCTTCGTCCTGAAAATAGCTTCGTTTCGAAAGAAAAATATGTCGTTATTTTATTTTGTAAAAAAAAGAAGAAAAGAAATGCACTAATCTCGCTATATATGGAAGATTTCCTTAAACTTTGTAAGTTTACTCTGAAATAATTTATGTTCATTACTGAAAACTCAACAACAAGACTTTCCCCTTTATTCTAAAAAAATAAGTTTGTGAGTCATCATATATATATATATATATATATACTTGGTTAGTTGGTTTTATTATCTCATGCACTTAGGTAACTCATAAAATGTGACCTTTTTTAATTGAATTTTCGTCCAATTTTTAGTTTACATACTTACATTGTGTGTTTGGTTGGTACCAAACGCACCAATATGAGTACTATTGCTTTCTTGATTCAAATAAAAGACATACTATAACAAAAGTATCTACCTTAGCATTTATCATCATAACATATCATAGTATGTGTGGGTCACTTGTCCCTTCACTTTAAAGCTAAGTTATTTCATATGTGCAATTTGTCACTATTAATCTATCAAAAAAAAGGAGTGTCAAGATGGTCATTTCTAACTTAAATTTCTTATTTTATATAGCAACAATAATGTCATCACATGTACAAAACCACATATTCTAAGTAATTACTTGTATGTATCAAAAATATTTTTTTTTTCTGTAACAGAGTTATCTTTGTTCAAGAAGTGTCAATTGTTCAGCAAAAAAGTATTTTTATATAGTATTATACATTGAATTTCCTAGCTATTTCGTGTGTTCACTACTTCATATTTTAATTAAAAATTCTGACTCTATCATTAACGGAAAATGAAAGGTTTAACTTATATATTGTACTTTCCTTAGCTATAATAATTAACTATACCTATATTCAAGTTGCATTGCTTCAAAGCTAAGCTCAAATTAGTAAAAGGTAATTCCCTCAATGATTCATTCAAGACTAGTGTACAACAAGCATGATAAACAAACTCCAATTCTATCATAATTTTTCATAAAAAAAAACCCTCCTTTAATTCCTTTTATCCATCATAATTTTTCATCACACACTACTCCCAAAATTCTTCACCATCATGTTTCTTCCCTTCTTTCTCATTTTCCTCTCTTTTTTCCCCTTCACAATAGTCTTTTCCTCTCATTCATGCACAACCTCAACATCTACTAAAACATTTGAAAAATGTATGCCACTCCCTTCACAAGATGCCTCAATTGCTTGGACATTCCATCCACATAATGTCACACTTGATATAGTCTTTTTTGGTTCATTTATATCTCCTTCTGGTTGGGTTGGATTTGGTATTAACCCTAACTCCCCTGAAATGACAGGAACTCGCGCGTTAATCGCCTTTCCTGATCCAAATTCAGGCCAGCTTGTTCTTCTACCATACATAATTGATCCATCAGTCAAGCTCCAAAAAAGTCCACTTTTATCGAAACCTTTAGACATTCATTTAGTAGCCTCTTCATCAACTTTATATGGTGGCAAAATGGCTACTATACATAATGGTGCTACAATTCAAATATATGCCACATTAAAACTTGTGTCCAATAAGACCAAAAATGTACATTTTGTTTGGAACCGTGGCATTTATGTACAAGGCTATTCACCAACGATTCATCCAACTAACATAAATGATCTTTCTTCAATAGCCACAATTGATGTCCTTTCAGGTTCACAATCAACATGTCACAACAATTTCTTAACACTAAAAGATGTACATGGTGTTATCAATTCAATATCATGGGGTGTTATTCTACCTCTAGGCGCGGTCACGGCTCGTTACTTGAGGCATGTTGAGTCCCTAGGGGCAACATGGTTTTATGTACATGCAGGGGTACAATTATCAGGGATTTCATTAGGTACTATTGGATTTGCAATAGGGATTCGATTAGGGCAACTTTCAGGAGGGAGAGTGTATGGATTACATCGAAATTTAGGGATCGCGACGTTTGTTTTGGGCATGTTACAAACATTGGCATTGTTTTTTAGGCCTAAGACAACAAACAAGTTTAGGAAGTATTGGAAATCATATCATCATTTTGTTGGTTATGGTTGTGTGGTATTAGGAGTTGTGAATGTTTTTCAAGGATTTGAAGTGATGGGAGAAGGAAGGTCTTATGTTAAATTGGGTTATTGTTTGTGTTTGTCTACATTGATTGGGGTTGCTGTGGCATTAGAAGTGAATTCTTGGGTTGTGTTTTGTAGAAAAGCAAAGGAAGATAAGATGAGGAGAGAGGGATTAATTGGGAGTTCTGCCAAATTTAGTGGATCAAGTCATGGTTGATTAAATTATTGTATCACATGTATCATCATGTATGTCGTTATTTGTAATTTGATTGTTCAAAATATAATTTGAACTAAGATTTTGCAAGTTTATTTCTTGTCCCCTAAACAAGATTTTTGTTGCATACTATAAATTCATATTGAAACTCATGTATTTATGATTTTATTTTTTTGTGATTTAATGTAGTTGGGTTTTGAAGGTATCAATAGAAAATGAAGGGTTATGACTTTTTCGAATGATTATGATCTTTATGATTGTGACTTTTTCAAAAAATTTCCAAAGGTTGTGACCTCTTTGATAAGACATAGTTAGCACATTTTCAGACTACTCTGAGTTGGCTATAAATAGAGGAATTTTCTCTTATTTTTTAAAATCAAATTTCCTTATTCTTCTGCGTACAATTCTTGTTTTGTTAGGCGGGTAAGAAAGCCGCTATATCTCTTTCATTTAGTGTTCATTATCGAATCGAAATCACATATTGGTGAGTATAAAAGTTTGAAACTTGGTGTATATAGTGTACCAGCTCAGAGAGTGAGTTTTTAGGTAGTCAATATCAGATTTTGTTCTTACTTTTTTATTTCCATGGGCCCCAAACTAAAAAGACACACTAAGAGAATTGGCTAATCAAACTAATCTTTCATGGGCCCATTGGTTTGGCCCAAGCCTAAAAAAGACTCACAAAGCGGAAAAAAGGAAAAAAAATATGTGTCAAGAATGGGATTCGAACCCATGCCCTTTCGGACCAGTACCTGAAACTGGCGCCTTAGACCAACTCGGCCATCTTGACATTTTTACTGATTTTTTATATTATGTTACTCTTAAATATCATATTGGAACTATGAAATATTTTTATTTTATATAAGTATTATTTAGTAGATAAATTAATATTTACTAATTTAAAGAGTAATTTTAAGATTTAATAAAGATTAATTAAGTCTTACAAAATTTAAATCAACCCTCGAAAACAATATTTATGAATTTGAAAAAGTCATCATTAATAATTTCGATTATCGCAATAAAATCGATATCAATTGCTTGTTAGATTACAGGGGTGAAAATGATACATGTTTACAAGAAATTTTGGATAGGTTGCAATTTGACAAAGAAGTTGAAGATGATACAATACTGTTGAATCAATTTCACATAAGGAAACACTTGTTGCATTTAAAACTCTTCACAATTTTAAATCCATTAAGAAAGTTAGATATAAGTTACAACTAGATTTAAATTAGAACAAAAATGAAAAACATTGAAATCATATTTCACTAAATTGTTTTAAATATTTTATTAATTTAAAAAATTATTAATATATAATATTAATAGGACCATGTATTTATATAAGAGTCTTTCTGAAAATATACTATCTTATCAAAATCGATAATTTTTAGAAAATATTATCCTAAAGAGTTTATTAATTATTGAGTATTCATTTAAATTGGTTCTACTTCACCTCTAAATATAACTTCACAGATAACCACAATAGAGAAGTCTTATAGGGTTGTTTGGCTTAAAGAAATAACACCAAAATAGTATAAGGATTACGTTGTAGTCACACTTACATATTTATTGGTTGATAAGTTCAGAATAACATAATTCACAATAAAAATAATTAGTATTGAACAAGTTATTCCTCATCTTAGATGGTATAGTAATTACAATTCACATGATACAATTATCAAATGATAAAAATATTATTTAAATTCTTTTTATACATCACTCTTCATATTTATAAAAAATATTTTTTAAAAGCAAATAACTTATTTTTAAAATTTATGAAATGTATGTTAGAATACAATAAATTAAACACTTAAATAAAAAAAATATTCTTACTTTTAACATTTTTTAAGTAGCTAACCCATTATGGGCCCGTTTGGATGGGCTTAATAAAAGCAGCTTTAAAAAAGTACTTTTAAAAGTGCTGAAACTTATTTTTAAAATAAGCAGTTATGCGTTTGGATAAAAGTGCTGAAGTTGTTATGTCAAACGTGAAAAGGAAAAAATGGAAGAAAGAAATGTAAGTGTTATATGGGTAATTTGGAGATTGTACAAAAATAGTAAGCACAAAAAGATAAAAATGTGGTCAACTTAAAACAGCTTATAAGCTAAAAAAAAAGTACTCCTACCCCAGCTTTTAACTTTTGACTTAAAATAAATTTTTTTTAGCTTAAAATAAGCTGTTTTGAGTATTACCGTTATAAGTCAAAAACCAGCTTTTAAGTCAGTTTGACCAGCTTTTAAGCTAAGCCAAACAGACTCTATAACTCATATTGAAATCAAATGACTCAACTTTTTTTTTTCAAACACATTGAAAGTAGCAGTCAGATTGTCAAAAGTCAAGTCAAATTAAGGTTACAGTTCAAAGAAGATTTCAATAATTGAATGTCCTTTAATCCTTTATTATTTCCACAAAAAGAAGAGGTTCATTATTAAAATCTATATTCTAATAATCACAACATTATTGTGTATGCACTATGCAGTATGTATATAGAAAAAATGTTTTGATATATATTTAAACTTTGAACGAAAGTGTTGTCATGATATCAAATTTTGAAAATGACTTTTTATTTATATGAATTATTTAATAATGAATATACGTGGACACATTATTAATTATAGTGATGCAACATTTATAATGTTTACATGTATATATATATATATTTTTAAAATATATTATTAAATAGTAATGAAATAAAAGATCATTCATATAGCTTGATATTGTAATAATAATTTCGATATTAAGTACTTTTCAAACTTTTTTAAAAAAATGGTACCTTATACATAGTGTATAATTGATGAATCCTATGATTTTCCTTTCAAGAACTGAATTCTCTACAGTTTCAGTTCAGAGTTTTAATTAGCTATTACTCCCCACCTAAATTATTAGACTCAAAATTTGACTTTTGCACAAAAAACCCAAAAAGCAAGAAAAAGAAAGGATTTTTTTGGAGTATACTGATACCCCTTCTATATTTCTACTACTAGTTCTTCTTTTCTCTCTGTATCCTCACTTTTTCTGCAATCTTCTAGATATTTGTGTATTATTGGTCCCTTTTTCTTTTTCTTGAATTTTTGCTTTCAGTTCTTGAATATGGTGTCCATTATAAAAGGGTGATGGTTGCTTTTATTGGACTTTGTGCTGCTTGATTGGTTGTTTATTGTAGAATTTTACATTTTTGGGGTTCTTGGGTTTGCTGTCTTTAGTCTTTCATGTTGGGGGCTCTAGAGAGTTTTGAGACAGCCACCCAAATATTTAATTCTTGATTTGGTCTGCTAGTTGTGCTACAATTGTTGTTAAAAATTCAATCTTTTTTGACTTAAGCAGTGAATCTTGATGTGTTGGAAGCTGTGACAAAGTTCAGCTATGGCTCTCTAGTAGGTAAGTATTTCATTTCCCCCAAAAAAATTTAATGGTTTGTGCTATTGTTGTTTGGATTTCTTGAACTACTCTTTTTTTTTTGTCATTTGAGGGTTTTAGGGAATAGTCAGTTTTTGTAACTTTTGAGTAGCCAACTTTGATTTTGTGGGTTTATTTAATAATGGACTGTCATCAAGTAGTCAGTATGGAAGAATCAGAATCTCTTGTTGTTGATGACAAAACAAAATCTGATTGTCAAGGGAAGGGTGGTGTGGTTAGGAATGTAGAGGGGTTTATTGGGGTTCTTGATGTTCATGTGCATCAAGCAAGGGATATACATAACATATGTATATATCATAAACAAGATGTGTATGCTAAGGTTTCCTTAACTAGTAATCCTGAAGAAGCTGTTTCGACTGATACTATTAATGGTGGGGGGCAGAACCCGGTTTTCGATCAGAGTCTTCGACTTAATGTCAAGACTATTGAAACATCAGTGAGATGTGAGATATGGATGATGAGTAGGGTGAAGAATTATTTGCAGGATCAGTTGTTGGGATTAACTTTAGTACCACTTTGTGATGTTCTTGCTGAGAATGGGAAGCTAGAACAAGAATTCACCTTGTCATCGAGTGATCTTTTCCATTCTCCGTCCGGTTTTGTGCAATTGACACTAACATATACTGGTGCAACCCCGGAAGTCTTGGAAATTCCCACACCAGGCCATTCTTTGGCTGCAGCAAATGCTGATGAAATAGCTGAGAGTATTCCTTGTGAACTGGTTAAGATTGAATTCCCGGATCCCCAAATTGTGAACGAAAATGAACGAATGGTTACCGAGTACTATGCAATTCCCTGCACTGAATTGGATGGTCAAAGCTCTGAGCATATAGACTCCAAAGAAAATGGTGGACACATCTCTTCTGAAAATGTTCAGATTACACCAGAAAGTGTGGCTGTTGAAGGTCAAGATGCCACTGAAATCAAGAAGGTAGAGACTCTCACCCTGAGTGCTTCAGCCAAAAGTTCTCCATCAAACTCAAACCCCAAACAGACATCAACCGCTACGGAGGAGGAATCTGCACTGCCTTTGGATGATACTAAAGACAGTGCTAAAGAGGTTGATAGCACCTCATCTGTTAAGCCTATTAGCACGTTTACGCTGCCAGTTGTCAACGTGAGCATTGTACCAGAGAAGCAGGTTGTGCAGCAAGATATAGTTGATATATATAAGAAAAGTATGCAGCAATTCACTGAAGCTCTAGAAAAGATGAAACTTCCTCTGGACATTGAAAATGGAAATGACAAAACAGAGAACTCTAGTTCAAGTGAGAGACCACAGACGCGCCCAAATGGCCAAAGCCCAAGAGTGTTTTATGGTAGTAGTGCCTTCTACTGAAAAGGTTCACAAAAGAAATCACTTGTATGTTTTATCTACCTGAACTTGCTTGTAGTTTGGCATAGAATGGAATGTTTTCAGTTTAATTAGGCTAATCAGGAAAGATGTTTTCTATGAACTTTTCGTGTTGCTGTATTAGAAATGTTATTAACTAATGCTGTTATTGAATAACAAATGATTTAGTCATGGTGTAGTACTTTGGTTGACTATATTCTACTTATAAATTTGACATTTATGGCAAAAAATTGTGTTCAGACCTTCTATTGCTATTATTAGTTTGGTAGTATTGTAGTTTCTCAATGTGGGGTCTATCCACTGTCCAACTTTATATGACCTACCTTAAAACTTTTCACAAGAATAATGTTAGAATGAGATAATAATAGTCAGACATAAATGATAAAACTATGTTTCAAAGGTAGAAAAACGAATGAAAATATCAAATGAAATTCAAGAACTTTTAAAGTAGTAGTACTATATTATAGACAGACATCATTTGTTTTAGATACTTTTTTGGCTTCGGTAACCAAATGTTTTAAGAGTGTTTCAATTTATGTCACTTTTCTTTTTTCGAGATTCAAGCTATATAATCCTATCAACATTTTAAAATGTGTCTTTTCATAAAATTGATACCGATCAAATTTGTACCAAACACTGCTTTTCTTAAAGAGTTTGAATGTTTAAATTTTAAAATATCGGGTTAATCTAATGCAATTAAACTTTCATTGATTAGTCAAATTAACTCTCATAAAACAGAAAATGTCATGGAGTTACATAACATCAAAACCTATTTCCAAAAAAACTTGATTATCATAGTGAAATGTTGCGATAGAGAGGTTTGGGCATCAATAAGGAGAGCAGTATAAGGTTAACAACTACTGTGAGAAACCCTGTGAATACTGAATTTGCTAAAAAATCTATACTTTAGACATAAATACCAGCTGGAAGCAGGTTTAGTTATTGATTGATATGTAATGTAAAGTTTAGAAGTCATCCAGATAAAAAGTTACTATATCAATGACTAAGAATTTAGAACAAGTGAAGTGAATAGCATCAATATGCAGTAAATTATTCATTAGGAGACCCTAGATGGGTATCCCTAAAATGTATCACACTAAATCAACAACCTCCCTTACATCCAAATGAAAAAAAAGGAAAATCCCATTTAAGGGAAACTACAGAACAAACACATTACCAGACGAGAATCTGCAACGTTACAGCAAAAAACATTTAACTCTAAAGATTTTACGCAAAACTTTCTGTCTATGTTGTTTTTGTATGTATCGTTGCCTCACCAGAGATGCACGATACATTTCTGACTATATGCCGCAATCTGATTTTACACCTCACTCAAGGAAAACAAAAAGGGGGAACTCCTAAAGACATAAACCCAAAACAAAAAACCCTTAAGCACAAAATCTTGTAAACTTCTATCTCTAGACCTTCAAAACAAGCAACTCCAGTTAGCCCTACAAAAGGATATCCAATTCTTTAACACCTCAACTTCATATAGCTATAGAAGTACGCAAAATTCATGATTCAAATTCTACACCAAAGTTTCACCTAATGTAACACCCTTGCTTGCCAATATGCTCCTAGCCACCAATCCCTGCATCAATACAAAATCAGTAGATTAAGATGAGCCATGATTGGACATCATATGCAACAACGAAAGGAAAGAAAAGAGAGGGAGAAACAAATATGCAAACAACAAGAAGAATTACGAAAACCTTTTAGGTCAGAAAAACAAACAATGATAAGAAAAAAGAACTTCTATTTGCTCCAGTAGCTATCAACATAGAAAACAATATTCAAGTCAAATCTTTGAATTTATTTTGCTCCTTCTAAACTGATGTGTATTAACACTTCCCTAGATCTTTAAGGAATGGTGATGGTTAGCAAATACAGAATGTTCAATGAACTCGCAGCCATGTTGCGTGAAGCATTCTTGTTCATGGGAAGTATCCTTATTCTCTTTCTCCAGAACATGCAGTATAGTTCGAGAAAAGAAAACATGACACATGTATTAGTTTTTCTAGTCAGATGAGTGAGCAACAAATAAAGAGCAGTAGTGTAGCCACAGAAAATAGTATACGTACCCAGCCTAGGACAACTAATCAGCCATACTCCATTCCAATTTTAAATAGCTCTGTCCCACGGCATTAGAAAAGTATACACAAACATTAATGGCCTTTTTCCAGGAACATGATGGGATAGAGTAGCCACAGGCCATGCACTCTATCGATTTTTGTTCCATTCGGCTCAAAAGGTCATATATAAGAATAAGAGACTACCAACCAGCAGATGGCAGACATATCGGGCTTCAGCTTATGGTGTATCCCCAATATTTCTCCGAGAATGCCTTTGGGTGCAACGTATAAATTAACAGAGGTATGAAAAGTCATTGAGGAAGTAGAGAAAATTTTTCAAACAGGAATAGGAGCACTCTATCGGTTTTTGTTTGATTCGGCCCTTAAGGTCATATTAGAAACTGTACCAACCTTGACCGGTCAATACAGATTGGGGCTGCAGCAGATGACAGACATATTGGGCTTCAGCTTATGGTGTCTCCCCACTTCTTCTCCAGTAATGCCTTTGCGTGCAACGCATTAACTAACAAAGGTATAGAAAGTCATTGAGGAAGTGGAGAAAATCTTTCAAACAGGAAAAGGCAATACCTATCCTTAGTTGGCAAACACTTACTAATGGTGCTCTAGAGTCCCTGCCCACATGTATGATGTCCTAGTTCCCATCCCAGCAACAGTGGGGAAAGGGGCAAGACAGATTAAGAGAAACTTCCTTTGGGAAGGCAACAAGGAGAACAGATCTTGTTAATCAGACTGAATTATATCACACAAGGACTTGGGGTCAAAATTTTGAGGTTTCACAACAAAAACATGCAATTCAATCATTTTGGAGATACATGAGAAGAAGAGATTTGTCGGAAGTAATTCAAGCAAGCTAAGCTCCAGAGTCTTGGTGCTTAATCGACAGGTAATGGCTCCAATGAGGTTGGAAAATGGAGATTTATAAGAAATCTACGAGGATGAATTCTCTGAAAAGTCTTGTTTCAAAGTAGGAAAGGAAAAAGAATATTCTTTTGGCAGGATGTCCTCTTAAAGAGCAATTCCCTGATTTATTGCCAATGGCATGGAATTTGTTTGAGGTTAGAACGGTAAGTAGACAGCATTGCTGTGCTGCCGAAGAAGATGGATGAAGTGTAGATTCTCCATGTGCAACCAGATTCACTGGTACGGTATGAGGAAAAGGATGGAATTCTCTTATTCAAGTGTTTTTCTTTTCTTAGATATTTTCATCTCAGGCTTTTTTTCCTCAAACCTGTTTTGTAAAACTTTTTTCTTGAGCCGAGGGTCTATGTGAAACAACCTCTCTACCCCACAAAGGTAGAGGTAAGTCTGCGTACATCCTACCCTTGTTGTTGTTAAAGTGTCTTCCTATAAAGACTTCTACAGCACTTTGTTGCTAAATGCTCAATAAAATGCTGCAACCAGATTCACTGGTATGGTACTATGGTATGAGCAAAAAGATGGAATTCTCTTATTCAAGTGTTTTTCTTTTCTTGGACATTTTCATCTCAGGCTTTTTTTTCCTCAAACCTGTTTTGTAAAACTTTTTTCTTGAGCTGAGGGTCTATGTGAAACAACCTCTCTACCCCACATAGGTAGGGGTCAATCTGCGTACATCCTACCGTTGTTGTTGTTGTTAAAGTGTCTTCCTATAAAAACTTTTACTGCACTTTCTTGTTGCTAGATGCTCAATAAAATGCCTTCAACAATCATCAAAAAATGATTCTCAGTCAAGTCATGTGATAAGTTCCCCACTATCTCTCAAAGTACGAATAGAATTGAGTGCAGAGATGATCGAGAAACTAAACCCCAACTAAGGTGGCTTTGCTTGTTATTCTTGGTGGTAGCCCATGAAGGCTGTTTGAAATGGAACTTGCTGAGAAGAGATATCAATCTGTGCAGCAAATGCTAACTACCTACCAGTGTGAAAGGAGCTCTGAAGGCATAATTCTTGAGAACGTGATTCGATCAATTGAGGATTGCTATCCAAAATCTAAAGTGAAACACCTGATCAACTATTTTTTTGTTGCCTATCATCTCACAGTTATAAAGGTAATTTTACAGCAAGGTAGTATAAAGTAGGATGTGTGGTAGGCATATATCCAATAACAACAATCAGTAATCTTCTAACACAGCAAATAATTTATTTTCAGACTAACATTTAGCAAGTACTTACACTTGAAAGAACTCAAAACCTAATATATACATTAAAAGATGCCAATATGTGCAACTTGTAGGCTCAGAAGATTATATAACAAAAACATTATAAAATATTTTTTATAGGGAAGGAAATAAAAACTATGCACACTATATTGACATCAAAAGATAATAATTAGAAAGGCAATACAGATGGAACGGATCACAAGTTAAATCAATAGTAGTGGTCTTTGACATAGAATATGTTAAGGGTGGGCATTCATTTTCTTCGATTTTTGGTTTGCCAGTAGTGTACAGAAGAATATTGTATCAAACTAATCCGGTTTGGTTCTTTTTCATTAAAGTTCGATTCAGTTTAGTTCGATCTTTTTAATTAGGTTCTTCTGTATTTTTTTAATGGAACAACTAAAGTATGATAAAAAAAATTTAATAGCAATTGTTTTCAACATTGAAAATTTCAGCAATGATTCTTTGAAGTTACAGCACAGCCACTGTCCAGTACCCACTGCCAAGAAAGCAACGAGCAGCAGGCCAGCAGCCACTGCCCAAAGACCAAAGAAAGGCTCATGCATTAATGATAATAGTAGACTAGCACTTTGCAGCAGCCAGAAACAATGAAACAATCAACACAAATGAGCAGCAATAAACAGTCTGTAGTAGCACTGGACAGTCTCAACAAGTGCTCAAGCCTCATAAAATGAACAGCACACGGCAACAACATAAAATGAGCAGTAGCATTCAGATTTGGGAATGGGTTAAGGCCTTGGGACTTGGGGTTGAAATTTACATTGTGCAAGAACGGGATTTTGGGCCAACTGGGAAAAAATTCTGAATGCACATTGGATATAGTTTTAATTGAAGTATGAAATTTGAATGGATATTATTAAACTTCGAAAAAGCCGAAGTACTGTGACTGTAATACCAAGGACCAAACTGAAATACCAAAGTCTTAATAAAATTTACCAAATCCGAACCGAACTGATTCGGTTTGGTCCAGTTTTTCG